TCTGAGGTAAGAATTTATTTCTCACACTGCTCAGCACTAGTCAGATGGTAAGGCCTGGGGCTTGTCCTGAACACTAAGTCCTCACTTGAGTAAATCCCAAGCTTGTACCCTCTTCAGAGCACCTCCATCAGCTCTCCTCACATAGCACACTCCATCTGAGCAGCTGGGGCAGGCTCCCTGCTACTCCAAGAGCACATCCACACTAATGTTCAGTAAAAAAGAAGTAATAAAGTGAAGAAAAGACACACTCTTCTCCAGTTCTGATTGCTCCTGAAGTACATAAGGAAATCCAACCTGGAACAGGTTCCTGCTCTGCATGAAAGAAAGCCTAATCTCTTGGTTCTTACATAAAAGCACCATTTTGAATGCTGTAATTTTTTTCATAAGAAACTAAGTGATAAGGGAAATTTGCCTAAAGTCTGAGATATGGTTATCTTTCAATATTACAATAAAGGTTATTACCTATACATAAGGAAAGCCCCTATTTGGGGAAAAGCTCCTCATAAATTAGGCTCTCATGTCACACCCATTGCCAATAAATAGGGAAGAGTTCTTTCACTGCGGTCATTGCTGATGCCACTGTGAAAGATAAGTATCATGGTTTTCAAGGTATACAGCACTGTCTTCTCACTATAGTATGTAGGAAATTTAAGATCACTCCTTCCTACCTTTTTTCTTTGCCCCATTAGTCATTCTCTTTTTCATTCATTAACTCAACAAAAGTGTACTGGATATCTAGTGTGTGCCAGACACACACATACTCTACGATGTGCCAGGATAGAGCAATAATAACAAGACAACAGCAACCATACCTACATTCACACAGAGCTTGCTTGCTATGAGCCAGGCACTAAATATACACATCAGCTCACTTAATCCTTGCACTAATCTCCTGAAGTAGGTAAAGTTACAAGCCTATTTTCAGATGAACAACATATATACAGAAAGATTAATTCCCAGGTTGCCTAGTCAGTGTCAGATCCAGGCTTCAAACCTGTATCTTTTAACTCCATTGTCTATGCTCTTGACCTCCATGCCATATAAAGAAAAACGAGGACTTAGGGAACTTTCCGGGTACTGGGTAAGAAAGACATTAAACAAACACACAAACAGCCTGTAATCTCAAATGTTGATGAGATCAATAAGAGGAGGGTACTATGTGTGAGGATGGCATAACACTGCAGAGGTTCTTATTGCAGGCTAAGCAATGCAGTGATGATCTTTAGTGACTCTCACTTCACCTAAATGACAACATTATAAATTTAAGAAAGTAAACTAGCTAAAAAAAAATTGGGGGAAACAAAGACTGGGAGGAATTTACTAAACAATTTGGCCCTTAAGCCTTGCTATAAAGCCCTGCCATCTTTTTTTATATACTCAGAATGATGAGGAATCTGGAAAATGGAACCCATTTCTGTTCCTATCTCTCTGAGAAAATCTATTCTTCATAAATGAGAGTAACTATCTCCTCATCTGCTGCCTTCCACCAGGAAATCCATGGTGTATTCAAAACCCTTAAAGTCTACCTGAATATTATCATATAAAATATATGATGATATCATACATATGTATATATGTATACATAGAGAGAGGGAGGTGGAGGGATTTCTTTGGTCTAAAATCTTGAATACACAGGCTCCTCAGAACAATTCAAGGTATTGCTTACTGTTAGAAAAACAAGCAAAACATCTCTGTTATTTGGCAATGAATAGACTTGAAACAGACTGAAATACGTTTTAAAGAAAACAGGAGCATAGAAACAAAGGATCAAGTTCCCAGAAGGACAAAATTCTCTCTTTATCTTGATTTAACAATAACACTCCCCACCACCAAAATAACCCTAGACTTTATTACGTTACTTGACCAATTACAGATCTACTTCTTTCTTACAGTGTCAAATCATGCAGAAAACAAAAACAAAAGTTTTTCTTAAGAGTTATCTGACTATCTATCTGATAGACTTGGGATAGTTCTGTATCTCTGATTGTCATGATTTATTTCATGTATTATTTTTATGTCTTCTGTCCTTAAATCAGGCATGGTCTCAAAGGACAGGATTTTACCCAAAGGTAGTGTGACATATTTGCTCTTAGTTCTGTGTTTCCAAGCGTCTCTCTTCTGAGGTTGATAATGATTTAAAGAGGCAAGGGAGAGGGCAATGTGTTCTTAATGGTGGCAATAATTATATTTGTATCACATATCTAGATAGATAAGCAACATCACTTCCAGGTCCAATAAATTAAGTAATTTTTCTGTTTCATCATTCAGAGTCATAAAAAAGAATAATTTTTGATGCTATATTGTCATAAGAAGGTCTCTGCAGCATTTAAATGTATCATTTCCTATAGGATTTTATTTTACTTGACTCTGATTTATGATATTACCACATTAAAATGCTTAGGTAACTAAATATATAAGTTAATTACTCGACTTCTAATGAGGATTCAATAGTCTCTAGTAAGAATATGGTACATTAGGTCTCATCTTTCATATGTAGTAAATTAACTTGAGATTAACCTAGGTAAACTATAAGCATGAGACGCCTATGTAATATTAAAGAGATATAGTCTAAAGGTTAGAGGCTCAATTTTCAAAGAAACTTCAGGACATTATGTCAAGTTTATTATTAGTGTTATGACATGAAAAATTTTAAAACCTGAAATCATATTAAACATGAAATTCTTCAGAAATGTCACATATACCTCATTTTTAAAAAATCTGTGCATATAATTGACTTTGATTTGCATTTGACCCATTATCATAATCCATTCTTCTTTTATTAATGTACTTCATTAATAAATAACTACAAGTAAACACTAAATAAATTGCAAATAAACATTTTTAAGAAGTATGCTACTTAAAGATATGGACTTCTCAAAAAGTCAGTGAATATCCTTATATCTTCTGTGATACAAAGCCTCTCATCATGTTTTATATGACATGGAAACTAGAATAGCATATTGATTTCAAGTATCTGAAAACAAGACATTATATTTCAGTATCCAGCATAAATGATTTTTATATGCACTATTTCAGGAGAAGGAAAGAAAAAATGATAATGGTTACAGTTTGTACTAATTTCATTCCCAAAGACCATCTTCTTTCTTTCCTTTTATTTAAATATATGGGTTTAGAATATTAAGCCTCATAAAAATAAAATACTTAATAATGTATTATTGGGAAATCACCTACAAATTACTTTCAGAGTAATTTGAAAACAATCTAATTTGAATCACCAGTCTAAATAGGTCATTTAACTTAGAAAAATTAAAATTAGCTGTGCAGGGTCAATTCTTTTCCTAAAACATCTGCATCCTGTTTGTCCTATTCAAAGTCAAACCAGAGCTGTCAAGAACAACCATAATATACAAATTTATTCCAAATCTCAGAGTTAATCTGCTCCAGAAATATCTATAAAAGTTAATATTATATATAGGGGGGAACCAAAATGAGGGAGTTCTTCAAGAAGTTGGGGTAGAGGGACAGAAGGAGAAGGTGAACTCTTGTATTTCAGGAAGGTGATAGCATGTGGGAGGGGGATAGGCCTCAGCTGGTGCTCATTTCTTGTTTTCCACATATATACTTTCACAGTAAATGCAAGTCAAAATCAGTCAAGACACATATAAAACAAAACAAACATTTCCATGCAAGTTTAGTCTTCCACAAGCTTTTCTTATATCAAACTAACGATATATGATCATGAAACTTAATGTTATCCACCACCTTTAAGGATTTAATCAACTTATGACATTCTGATAAACTCAGGAATTAAATCCCTACTTCCCAGAAAAATCTCAGAAATAAACAACAAAATATTGAACTAAGATCCTTAAAGAATTAGAATAATAAAATAAAACTAAAAACAAATGAGAAATTTTGGCTGCCTGAGGCGTTCAATATTCCTTCACAACCAAATCACTCATAAAAACAAAAGGACCTCAACAATGTCGGAACACTAAGGTGTCAAGGATCCAAGGACCCTTGACTTTAGAAGGAAGGACACACAAGGTAGCTGACAGAGAATGGCATCAGGGGAGCTACAATAGCAGTCAGTTTTGTTTCAGGACTCTTCAAAGCCATCAGGAAATTCATTTCTTCTTCTTTCTGGTTTAAAAGTAACTTTGATGCTCAGATGCAAAAAAAAAAGAAGTACTTTCATATTCACCAGCTGGCAACAACCTATCTACAAGCAGAGTGATCAGAGATGCTAATGAAACAGGTTTTCTATTTGCCCACTTCCATAACACCACTTTCTCAAAATGAGATTTTGAGAAATCTTGATTCCCGCAAGACGTCTGTTTAAAGATGAAATGGAAGGACCTTTGCTCTGACAAGGAGGCAAACTGAAGACTTAGCATTGGGGAATTGCTAAGGAACACTCTAAGCTACATTTTTCTTAAAAGGATGAAGCCCAAGACAATTAGGATTTACTCATCTCCAGATGGATGATAAAATATTTATAATTGCCCAGGACAGAAAAACAATTTCACTCCAACTCCCCACAAAACACACACACACACACACACACACACACTGAAGCACAAATAGTCACAGAGAGGGTCAGAGCTTGCTCCTTCCTCTACAAGGTCTCCAGAGCCGCTTTTCACCTCCCTGTGCCAGTTCCTCCGCGCGCGCCCCACCACCACCATCTAGCCCAACCTCTCTAAGCTGCCACTTCGCCGCACCCCCTCTCCCCCCCTGTCCCGTAATCTTTAGTTCTGAGCAGCCCAGCAACCACTCTGCCTCCAGCGCGTCCCTCTGGGTGGCGTCCCTCGCACTTGGGAGGTTCTCGAAAGCCTCCGGACTGGTGCTAGTGCCCAGGCTGGGGAACCCCGGGGGTTCCGGCCTTTTAGGGCTCCTTCCCCACACTCCTCAGCCCGAGAGGATTAAGTTGTCTGGCATCCCACAGCGCGCACAGCCCCCACCCCTCCCAGTCCAGCCCCTCCCGGGCTTGAACGCCCAGGGGTCCCTTGCCTCCGCGGAGGTGAGCGTGCACTCACCAGAGGTGAGCTGCATCCAGGCACATATCTTGTACACGGTGGCCGTGTTGCAGAAGAAGAAGAGGGTAAAGCAAACGATGCATGCGATGATGAGCATCATGGAGAGGCCGATGAAGAAGGAGGCGGCTTTGAAGGCGCCCGAGGGCAACGTGGAGAAGTCCGTGAAGCTGCCCCTGCAGGTCAGCTCCCGGGAGAAGCCGTTGCCGATGCAGTAGTGGAAGAGCCCGAAATAGCCGGCTTGCGGGGTGTCCACGCCGTCACCGATCCAGTAGGGCTGGATGAAGCACACCACGTTGACGATGGCAAAGCAGATGGTGAAGATGGCCCACAGCACGCCGATGGCCCGCGAGTTCCGCACATAGTTGGTGTGGTACAGCTTGGCAGCCTCCTGAGCCGGGAGCATCGCGGCGGCGGCGGCGGCAGCGGCGGCGGCTCCGGGCATTCTCCCCCTCCTCCTCCTCCGCCTCCCGGTCCTCCGCCTCCCCCCGCCTCTCGGCGCGCAGGAGACACACTCACGGAGCCGCGCGCGCTGCAACTCCCCTGCCTCCGCCTCAGCCCAACAGCACCAGTTCCAGAGTCTGCATCCTCGCTCCCGGAAGGAGGGCGGGGGAGCTCGGAGCACCCCTCCGGCTCGCCTGGCACAGCCTCCCGGCCCCCCTCCCTCCCTCCCTCCTGGCCCGGGCTCCAGCCCTCCTCACCACTCTCCACCCTTCTTCCCGCCGCTGCCGCTGCAGCTGCAGCAGCTGAAGGCGGCAAATCCCGCACGCCCCCCTCTTGGTTCCCAGTCTCTGGCTGGGCCCACGCTGCCAGTGCCCAGGGCGCAGAGAACCGCGGGGACCCTGGAACGCCCCTTAAGTGGCGGGCGCAAACCAGAGAAGCGGGCCTGGAGTTTGGGGAGCGGGCGTAATCTAATGATGGGGACCGGAGCACCCACGGGAATCCCAGAGACACCTCCGGGATCCCGGCTGGTGTTAGGAGCTGGGCTCAGGAGACTGATTCTGGGAACATTTCATCGCCGCACAGCAACGTGCTTAGACCTCTGCTTCTTTTAGCGAGGGGCAGCGCGGCAGGTGCAAGCGAAAAATGTCAAGGGAAAGGAGACATACTGCCCCCCAGAGACCTCCCTGTTACTACCACAGAACTGCCCACACCACTCCCCCACCCGTGCTAACTCCTCAGTACTTCAGGTACACAGGTAGAGACAGAAGTTGAGCAGGAGTCCGATAATCAATCACGTAAAAAGACAAACCTCAAGGTGGTTTCCTTATCTTATGCAGCCAAATGAATTATGGCCAATTGATGATATAGATTGTCTTTACCTCAAAACCTTCCCGTAGATGGGGCTTGTGTGGGCACGGAAGTGAAAACATCAGGTAGTTTGGCCAGTGTTCCATTTATTACCCAAACATTCATTGACAGTTGTAATGTGCTAAGGATACAATAAGGATGGCCAACAGATGATGTTTTAATTGTCTAGGTATTCCCACTTCACCCACAACCCAAAGCTTCAGTTAACCAGAGAGTTGTTTTTCAGGGCACTTTCCCCTGAATTATCCATATATGACTTTACATCCATGGAGCATTGCTGTTTTATGTCTGTGCCTTGTGCTATTTCCTTTGCTTATTTCAGGCCCCCTGCGTTTTCCAGGTTTTCAATTGCTCTTTTTAGTCCCTTCACTTCTCTTTTTTTTTTTTTTTTGGCTATTTTTTTGTTGTTGTTGTTCCTTCTGACTCTGATATAAAGAAGCATGTAACACCCCCCCCCCCCCCGTTTAACAGTAAAGCCAGATTCCTCAATAGTAGGACCAGATTTTGGCAACAAACCATTTTGAACCATATGACCACTGAATACTCTAAGTAAAAATGTGAGAACTCTGATAGAATTTGATCTCTAATTCTATACTCAGTTGGCTATGTAAATGACTAGTCAATGGAAGAAGAGTCATACCATACATGATCAAGTTTCGTCATGCTCTTCATTTGAGAACCTGAAGATTTGAGATTGCATGGGGAGACAGAGGCAGAGAGTGAAACTTGGGATATGGGACACACAAAAGATAATAAAGGGCCTACTGCTGCAACTGGGAAAAATTTGAGACTGTAAGTGTGCAAAACTTATTCAACTTTTCCTGCGGGCAAGGAATTCAGGTATCACAATTCAAGTCCATCAGACAGAATGAGCATGGAACATGTAAGTTTAGACCCAATAAGAATTTCTAGGAAGTGTGGTTGTAGATGCTCAGAAAATCTTTTAAAATATCAGAGGCATTTGGGGGAGGTAAGGAAGATGACCTAAATTTGGCCAGCCCAATATAACACTTGCAGTCTTTAAAAATATAATTTGTGATGCTGTATCATCAATGCATTGGTGACAGTGGAGGGTCAAAACTTCTGTTAGGTTTAATTTTTCTTAACTCCCCTAAGGAGTTAGAAAATTTTTAACATAGGTGGGGGAAGAGAAAAGGTTAGGGTAATCAGATTTATGGGTCCATTTGGCAGGCCATATGTCCCAGGGGCAGAGAAGGTTTTAAGGCGAGAACTAGCAGTAATTTCTAATGACTCTCCCAAGCCCTCAAATTCCCTGAACCTCCTTGTATAAAGTAGATCTTCTTTAAAATCAATGCCTTAAAAAATTCTTTTTGTTCCTAGGAGAGTGGTTGAGATGGGAGGTTACTGAGAAGGGAAGGCTGAGAATCAAATGCCTGGTTTAGACCTCAATGCTTAAATTGCCTTCACAGGACAAAGAAAAGACTGGTGAGTGACTCAGATTCAAAGGTTGTGACTCAAAGAGCTTTTCTATTTAAGTCATTCCCAAGGAGAGTCCTATTCTTATTCCAGGTTTGGAATTGCCTCTGGTTTTGTGCTCAGAATCATTATACCAAGGGGCATATTCAAGGTGTCCACTCTTGTCAATAACAACTAGGAACAGTCCAGTGTCCAGTGCTTTGCTGATCTAAAGTGCTCATAATGGATTTTCCTTGGAATTTGTTGTTGCTCTGCCAATGGCCTTTCTCTCCACCTCCACCCTGCCTGCACCACAACAGATTTGCAGGTTGAAGGAGGAACTAGGGGTGAGTTTCCTTCATTACTGAGGAACTAGGGGTGAGTTTCAATGCCTGCAAACTCTTGACTTGCCATCAAGAAGTACAGATTGTCCACACCTTTCAAATTCCTCTGTCACCATCCAAACTTTGTCCTTAGCAACCGCGAGTCCGAGAGGTAAGACTACTTCCACCTTAAATCTAAAACTTTTGCCTTGCACCATGTAGACTTTAGAGTTCAGACAGCTGAGCTTCTGGGTAACTCGTCACATTCATCAAAACTATGTGACCAGGAAAGCTGTTTGGGGGAGGAGGAAATAATAAAACTAGACTGATTCATGCTAAGAAGTTGCTATTGATAGAAAAGTATTTTGAAACTATACCATGATTCATATGTGCTAAATAACTAATAGAAGTCAGTGTCATCGACAGCATGGAATTAGAAACACTGAACACTCAAATCTCAAGCTTTACTGTTGACAATGATTTTCTCTTGCTGCCACCATGGGTCAGTAATGAGATCTACTCTTTCACAAACTGTGTCTCACAGATTGTTAAGTTAGGACTATAAAAGAGAAACAAAAGAATAGTTGGACTATGTAACATGCTTTAAAAAGAAAAGAAAGATGCTGGGTGAGGAAAAGAGCTTAATGTTTAATCCCAAACTAATCTGAGACAGTATGAGAGGGTGCAAAAGCCTTGGAGAGCAAGAGACTTGGGATTCATACCCAGTACCATTTTTACCTGACCATTTTTACCAAGACCTAAAGGAGATATATAAGACTATGGCAAAACAGACTTTTATTTAATATTGAAAACCTTCTCTGAAATTGCATAGGTATAATTTTGCAATCGATGGATGCTTAGAATTTTCAGATGAGTCATTGCTGTGACCTTGATAACAGAAAGAGGATTTCTAAAGTCTGTTACTTAACTGATGTTTAGGGGTATTACCAAGGTCACTATTAGATCTCACTCAAGAATACAAAGATTCTCCATGTCTTTCTTTTTTTTTTATTTTTTATTGTTGGTTGTTCAAAACATTACATAGTTCTTGATATATCATATTTCACACTTTGATTCAAGTGGGTTATGAGCTCCCATTTTTACCCCATATACAGATTGCAGAATCACATCAGTTACACATCCATTGATTTACATATTGCCATACTAGTGTCTGTTGTGTTCTGCTGCCTTTCCTATCCTCTACTATCCCCCCTCCCCTCCCCTCCCCTCCCCTCCCCTCTTCTCTCTCTACCCCCTCTACTGTCATTCATTTCTCCCCCTTGTATTATTTTCCCCTTTCCCCTCCCTTCCTCTTGTATGAAATTTTGTATAACCCTGAGGGTCTCCTTCCATTTCCATGCAATTTCCCTTCTCTCTCCCTTTCCCTCCCACCTCTCATCCCTGTTTAATGTTAATCTTCTTCTCATGCTCTTCGACCCTACTCTGTTCTTAGTTACTCTCCTTATATCAAAGAAGACATTTGGCATTTGTTTTTGTCTTTCTTTAATTGTGGAAATTTTCAGTCATTCTGTCTTCAAATATTGACCTTTATTATTCTATCTGCCCTCTTTTTTCCCTGCTCTGCATTTAGGGTTAATTCCTTTATATATATGTGTGTATATATATATATATATATATATATATATATATATATATATATATATATATATATATATATATATCTTTTATTTTTATAAGTTCTTTCTTTGAATGTGTTCCTAAGAATATTTAACCTATTACAATTTTAGAATTTAATCTGCTAAATGTAATTGTAATATTAATAAACACAGTATTTTATTTGCATGATAAAAAAGAATACAATGATTCTAATAATGAAGATTTTTCACTCACTAAGGGTTTCCCTTTGCTTCCCTTCCCCCTTAGTTTTCTTTGCGGGCTTTTCAGAAATCAGAAATCACCTCTTAGTAAATCAATCACTGAATTAGCAGAGGTAATCAGATGGCTTGAGTGTTTCAACACTCCATGCAAATCAAGATTGAATTGATCAAAAGACTTTGAATTCATTGCCCTTTGGTCTATATCACTTTACAATGACATGTAAAGCTCCAAACAGAGAGGGATATTGGAAATAGGAATGTCAGTCATTCTCCTTCTCTTTTCTCCCCCTTTGAATTGGATTCTCTGTGACTAATCCATTTTATAAGTGTTTTTCATTTTTCCACAACCCAATTAAGAGCAAAGGTTGTTTTCTCATAAGACTGAACACCTCCATAGCTTATACTAAATGAACCATTTCACTTTAATGTTTTTAAGCCTTGATTTCATTATGATTCTGTCTGAAGATAGGTAATGGCTTCTATTAAATAAAATAATATAGAATATCTTGAAACGTGATTTTTCTAAAACAAAGTCTGTCATGGAGCCATATTGCATTACAACTTAAATTTAG